TCGTGGCGCCTATAAGTTGTGGGATCGGGCTTCAGGCACCACGATCAAAAGTTGTGATGTCATTTTCGAGGAGGGAGTAGGACACCGTACGATTGAAGCTACGCCTACTGCTTCTTTTGACGTTGCTCTTGATGATGCTGATATGCCCCCAATTCTTGATGATGTGGACGAACCAGACACTCCCACAAATACCTCAGGCATTATTGTTCCACCCAAACCGCTCGCTCCTCGTCCACGCATCACGGATCCTCCGCCACACGCACAACCTGTTAGCGCTCAACCTCCATCTGCTACCCTAAATGGTGAAAACACGACGCCTACTCCCGTCTTGCCACCTAGACGCTCTGCTCGTCTCGCCGCCGTCGGGACAGGTGCGCCACTTCCTCAGGCGACTGTGCTGATGACAGGACTTCCAGAGACATACATACCCCAGAATTACGAGGAGGCGATGGCACGCTCCGATCTCTGGATGCCCGCAATGGAGGCTGAATGGGGAGTTCTGACCGAGAGGGAGGTTTTTCGTTTGTTGGATCCACCTCCAGGTGCACATATCATCAGATCTATGTGGGTGTACGCTAACAAGTACGATGCGGATGGTAATGTCATTCGACGGAAGGCCCGTCTCGTCGCCAAAGGCTTCTCGCAGATCCCTGGGCTCGAATATGATCAAAGATACGTGTCTGTCGTGTGTCTCGAATCTTTCTGCATGGTGGCTGCCATTGCCACTTCCCTCGACCTTCACATTTGGCAGGTTGACATCGTCTCCGCATTTCTTTATAGCCCAAACGAATTCCCTATCTACATGCATCAACCTCTAGGTTTTGTCAAACCAGGGCAGGAAGGGAAGGTCCTTGCGGTTGACAAATCTTTATACGGTATGATGCAGGCCACTTATGACTTTCAGAAACAGATGTCGAGCGCATATGAGGCACTTGGGTACTACAAGTCAGTGGCCGATCCATGCGTTCACTCTCGAGTCGATGGGGACGAATACACACTCACGAGTACCTACACGGACGACGTATTCGGGGCGTCTTCAACAGAGGAAGGAGCAGCAAAGGCGAAGAAAGAAATAGAGAAGTGTTTGAAATAAAAGATGG